TCCGATGCAGCCGCCGGGCATGGCACCCGGACCGCCACCGAGCTTCCCGGGCGCACCGCCACCCGGTCCGCCGCCGTCGATGAACCGTCCGCCGGCGGGCATGCACCCGGATCGCTTCGCACAGTCCCAGTTTGGCGGCGGTGGCGGTGGTGGGGGTGGCTGGAGGTAGCCTACATCCTCCCCGCCTGTGTGCCGCGCCCTCCGGTTGGCAGCCGCCTAAATGTATCCTTTGCGTCGATGCCCATGCTCTGAATCATGTACAACTCTTTCCCGGTCGCTGCCCCCGCCCTGTCCAGGGCTGTGTTCTGCTGTGGAGCTTGAGCGGAGGGTGAGCGAAAGGTGGCTGATGGTGGTGCTGTTTGCTGCCGTCGCCTGGGACTTGTGCGGCGGGCAGGAGGTTGGTTCAGGTTGGCGCGCGCCTGCGGTCGGGCCAGCCAAGAAGTGGAGGCAAGGCGAGGCGAGGCGAGGCCAGGGCAGACTGACCAATCCACGCAACGACGTTGGGGCCAGGATCATCTCCACCATCACCATCGTCTCGCATCTCGACGCTTGCAACCTGCCGCGCCGTCGGGCCCCATCGACTATTCCGGATACTCGCACGCCAAACCTCGCTCCTCTTCACCGCTGCTACCGTGCCGAGAACGACGTCAGCATGACGAACCAACCATCGACCGCGACATCGGGGTACCTCGACGACCTCTCCCCCACCTCTCTACTCTCGCATCTCCATCTCCACTCCTCGGCCGGTAGGACACGACACCAGCGTGCGCGCACACATCGTCGTCGCTCCTCGTCTTCCTCAACACGATCCGATGTGGACGACGACGACGACGACGTCGAGAGCGAGAGCGAGAGCGAGGCGAGCGAGGCGGAATCGAGGGATAGCTGGGACAGCTACGACAGCGAAGAGGAACGCAGGCTCGCACAGCTCGAGTGGGACGAGGGCATCCGCCAGCTCCAACTCACCGTACAGGTCCTCCTCTGTCCCTTTTTGGGAAAGTACCTCGGCAGACAGTGGAGCTATTGGGGTGAGTGAGGATCGGATCGTCGCCCTGATCCTGGGCAGCCTTTGACGGCGCCCTCGCTGACCCCCTCGGACCCAATACCGACTTTCTCATCTCTGCCACGCCAATCCGACCCATCTTCCTGACAGCGTTCGCGAGGTACAGGCGCTTTGGCGGCCTCACGGCCCGCTTCTTTAGCATAGACTGGCTCCTCAAACCCGCCACCAACCTCTCGAGCATCCTGCCAAAGTCGAACTAGCCGCCAACTACCCGCTCGTCAACAACTCGCACCCGCGTCGCATCATCACTACCCGCCTCGCCTCCCCTCGACTCAAACAAGGATGACAGCCACTCCCATCACACTTCGACACTCGATGCGAATGCTTCAGATCCGATTACCAGACATTGCTGCGCGACCACAGCGGGCGAAAAGAGCGTGGAGATTGGGGCGCCAAGATGGCGTCTAAATGGGAATGGGAAACTCGCGAATCTACGAAAACGAGCGCCGGCTGCTTGCCTTCACGCCTCGCCGCCACGGAGCATCCGGGCCAGCCCCCCGTCGCCGCCGGCCCTCCGCGCGATGAGAACCACGCTGGCCGCAACGGCGATCACGCTGCCGAGGGTCGTGACGACAAACACCTTTCGGTAGCACTCGGGCCCGTCGAGGCAGAAGTGGTGCGCTCCGTCGCCGGCCGCCGTCGTCGCCTGCAGCACCTCGCGCACCTGCAGCCAAAGCCCGCCGTCCAGCACCGCCCGCACGTCGAGCGCGCCGGGCGCACCGTTCCCGCTTCCGCCGCCAACCGAAGCCGACGGGACGTGCGAGTCGTAGATGCGGCCAAAGAGGAGGTTGAAGATGTTGCCGGCGATGACGGGGCTGAGGCTGAGGAAGCCGTAGTTCTGGCTAAAGTGCTTCATGCCGAACCATTCAAACATAAGCACGGGGCAGAGGCCAAACAGCGTGCCGTACGAGAGGCCGGTGAGCACCGACACGCCGAGCAGCTGGTGCACCGTCTGGATGGTGCGAGGCAGCGCGGCCAGCAGCTGCGAGAGGAAGGCCAGCGTCGTTACCACAATCAGCAGCCACACGCGCTGGCTGGCCGAGCCGGTGCGGTTGACGAGGAAGTCGGAGAGGAGGCCGATGATGATGCGGCCCGAGGCGTTGCAGAGCGAGATGGCCGACACCTGCTGCGCCTGCAGCTTCTGCACCGACGCCTTGGCCGACATCTTGAGCGCCTCGAGGTACTCGGCCGTCGTCGCCGCCACCATGGCTTCGGGGTGCAGCAGCCCGTCGCTGCGACCGCTCAGAAGCTCGGGCGTGTCGCGGTGGTTGTAGTCCCACAACGTCTTGGTGATGGTGCCGACGTTGTTGATGAGCAGCAGCCCGGCGCCCGAGACGAGCGCCATGACGCAGAAGAGGAGCAGGAAGTCGATCTGCTTGAACAGCTTCTTGCCAGAGATGTCGATCTGGCCCGCCGGCGCCTCTTCTGCCTGGATTGCCTTGGCCTCGGGCCGGCCGGGCAGCAGCGACTGCCGTTCGGAGATGGGCGCCGCGCCCTCGTTGTCCGATTCGTCGTGGTGGCGAAGGTCGTCGTCGGCCCGCGGGCGCAGTCGGTCGTTGCGGCCATCGGCGCTGCTGCCGCTGGGGCCCACTCGGTCGTCGCACTCGTCATCGCTGCAGCCGCTGTCGATCGACGGCGTCTCGTCCCAGATGGCGGTGCGGGCCCCAATCTCGGACGATGTGCGCCGGCGCGTGTAGCCGTGCGGTGGTCCGAGCGCGCCGCCGCTGCTCCGCCGGCTGCCGGTCGCGCGCTCCTCTCCATCCCCACCGTAGCTCTCACGGCGGCGATCGTGGTGGTGATGGTGGTGGTGCTCGACGATCGGCAGGGGCTTTACGATGGCCAGGCCGATGAGCATGCTCGCCATGCTGCCAAAGGCGAGGAGCAGGAGGTAGTCGGACGTGTTGTCGGCAAAGAGGGCGTGGGAGAGGGTCGAGTAGAAGAAGGCGCTCAGGCCGAACCCGGAGAGGACGAGCGCGGTGGCGGTACCCCTCCTGGAACCGCCCCAGGACTTTGCCTGGGCGTTCATGGCAGCAGTGAAGCTTCCGCTGTTGCCGAGGCCGGTGAGGAGGTTGAGCAGGACGAGGAGGGTGGTGGGGGTGTCGACCGACTTGCGGCGGTAGGCGTACGAGAGACCGCCGTAGCCGAGCGGGACCATGATGGCGCCGGTGAGCATGGCGATGCTGGGTCCGCGTTTGTCGATGAAGCGGCCCCAGAGCGGCGACGAAAGGTAGACTCCGGCATTGCCAGCGATGCCGATCAGGTTGATCTGGGTCGAGGTGAGATGGAGGGCCTCCTGGAGCTGCGGGGCGAACGAGCTGAAGGCGTAGTTGGAGCCGGCACTGAGTGCGACAATGACGGAGCCAGAGAGGCTGATGAGCTTGCGCCGCAGGATGCGCTTCTCCTCCTCGGGCGACGGGTCGATGAGGTGGTTGGGGTGGTGGTCGTTGTGATGGTGCTGGTCGTCGTGGTCGTCGTCGTCGACGTTGACCGCAGAGTGCTGGCGGGCCATGGCGGGCGTTCAAGCCCAGCGGACGAGGGCGACGATGTCGGCGAGCGGGGAAAGATGTTGCAGGGCTAAGCGAAGGGGGATGGTGGTGGTGGTGGTGGTGGTGGTGGTGGTGGTGGTGGTGGTGGTGGTGGCGGTGGTGGTGGTGGCGATGCAGCTTGGCGACACACAGACGGGCGGACGTGGCCGGTGTGGAACGACCATCGCAGCTCGCCTACGGCACCACCGCATGCCAGGATCTCCCCCATCCCCCACATCCACAGCAGCCTCACTGCGGGCCTCCTCGAAGAGAAAGCCAAGGTCGCCGCCCAGGAGGCCGATCCGCCTACATAACTAGCGCCTGCCAACCGCTACCCTTTCCCTGCTCGCTACTCAGCCACGAGATCACGAACGTCGCTGCGGGCCGAGGAGTTGCCAAGGCCCCATGTCATCGGGCCTCTGCCGCGCATTATTGGAAACCAGCCCGGACCCTCGTCCGGCACATCGGAGCGGAGCCTGGCCTGCCAGCCTGGCCTGGCCGGGCCTGGCAACACACCCACGCAGCCCAAACAGGGGCCCACCAGGGCTGCGGGAACAACACAGCCAGGCGGCCACTCGCTCGTCATCCATGCCCTGACCCACCTCGACCATCTTCGACCTCGGACCCACCGGACATCATGTATCACGATTAGCGCTTGCCTCTATCACCTCTAACACAGGCTCGACGCTGCCCATTCGGCACTGTCAACACCAACGCTACCGCCACCACCGACGCCGCAACCATGCCGGCCAGCTGGGAGGCAGGCGATGCCGGAGCGGCAGCCTCGTACCTCTCGACCTCTTCCCAGACCCACGTAGAACCCCCCGAGCGCCTGTCCAGCTCGAATCACAAGTTCCAGAATAAGGCCGTCTCGACAGACGGCGACGGCGACGGCGACTGCGAACAACATGACGGCAACGGCCGTCGTCCGTCGCAGTCCTACGATCTCGAGGCGGCGGCGGCCGCTCCGTGGTCCGGATCTCCCGATGGGCAGACCCAACAGCAGGCCTCGTCCTCGGCCCACAGCCGAGCTACTCGCCAGCGCCCTCGCTCTCGCACCAACGACGGCCACGGTTCCGGAGGCGGTGCGGCGCCGCCCGAATGCGTTCAGGACTGCATCGACGGCATCGAGTCTTGCACTGCCATCATTGTCCGCTTCAACGAGCGCCTCGAAGTCAGCCGGACCCAGGCCGAGATCAAGCGGGAGCAGGATGGCGACTCCATCTTCGTACGCAAGCTGCTCATTCCCATCGTCTTCTTCATCCTCTCGTGGATCTTTGCCATGTACATCTGGAGGCTCTGCGCCCCCATGATCCGGCAGACGACGGCAGGCCAGGTGCTCGGACCGAGGGGCACCGGCATCGGGCTTCTCGCCGCCTTTGTGCCGCTCTGGCTCATGACCATCTGGTCGTACGTCAAGGTCGTCGCCACGCCGCCGGGCCACGCCAAGGACTACGTACCGACCTCGGACCCCCCGCCACCATTGACTGGGCCCGATCATCCTGGCTCGACGCCCTACCGTCCGCCATATCCGGATCATAGCCAGCAGGCGGCAGCTCCGCGGCTCCCTGCCCTCCCCAGCACAGCTTCTGAGCCCATCGACATCCGACCCTCGATGTCGCAGTCCGTCTACCTCTCGGCCGATGGCCACGAGCCGTCCGACGCCGGCCACGCCCGCCCGTACCCATCGGTGCTCGCGGAGCGGGACGACTTCTACGCGGTCCGCGGCGCATCCACCGAGAGCATGCGCGTACTTCCCGGATCGCTTTCAGCGGATGCGGAACTCGAAGCTGGGCCTAGCATGGACGCCCAAGCTGCTAGGGACTCGGCTGAACCTGTCGCAACGGGGGAAGGGGCTCGGGAGGAGAGCGAACTGCCTGAAGCCGGCGTCGCAGGAGCGCTGGGAGGCGTCGGAGCGGCCGCCCTCGGAGCTAGCGCAGGCGCACAGGAAGAGAGCGAGCAACATCAGCAGGCCGAGCTCGCTGCTTCGCCGGCAGGACCGCCGTTCCCACAGCAAAAGTGGAACGGCCCAGTGGAGCCCAGCCGCCAGCCGCAAAACAGCCCACCACCACTCTCGGCACAGTCTCTCTACTGCCACCGCTGCCGCATCGTCAAGCCGCCACGCACGCACCACTGCAAAAAGTGCAACGCCTGCGTCCTCAAGATGGACCACCACTGCCCCTGGGTCGGCGGCTGCGTCGGGGCGCAGAACCAAAAATTCTTCTTCGTCTTCGTGTTTTGGGTCACGCTGCTCGAAGTCTACGTGCTGGTCTCGACCGCTTTCCACTTCCACCGCGGCGTGCAGTCGCTGCGCAACGGCGGGTCGGGCTGGAGCGTCGACGGCTACCTCATCTCGGTGCTCGCCCTCTCGGCCATGTTCACGCTCTTCACCTCGGCGCTGCTCTTCACCCACATCTTCCTCACCTCGCACAACCTCACCACCATCGAGCACCTCGGCGTCAACCGGGTCAAGGGCCGCGAAGAGGTGCTCATGGACCGCTGGTTCGGCTACCAGTCCAGCCTGTCTTCGCCCAGTGGCGATGGAAGCGCTCAGCAGAAGAAGCGCAAGCGGAGCGGCGGGCTAGGTGGCCTGCACCTCAAGGAGAAGAAGGACATGAAGAAGCGGTGGAACCATCTCTGGGGCAGCTGGACAACGACGGGCAACATTTGGTGGATCGGTGGGCGTGACGAGCTCGGCATGGCGGTCGCCAGGCCAGACGAGCAGGGCAATGGCGCCACCGTCGCTCGGCAGGAAGCAGCCGTCCCGTCTCCTCAACATGGCAGCGATGGCGAGAGCGGGGCCGATGCAGAGAAGCAGCACGCCCGGCGAATGAGCTTCCAGAAGCGGTGGAGCCCACAACATGCGGAGCGGACGAGGGTGAAGGGCAAGGGTGCCTGGAAGGTCAACATGGAGCTGGCGCTAGGGCCCAGCATGTGGACTTGGCTACGTGAGTCGCCTTGGGGCGCCGCCGATATCCCGACAGAGCAGCGCACTCCGAACCGCTGACACCCCCGCCCAGATCCTCCCCTGCCCGTCCGGTCGCCGTCTCGCAACCAGTCCCCGTCGGGAGAGCACCAGCTTCAGGGCTCGAGTTCCCCATCAACCCGCGCTTCGGTGCGCAAGGCACCCACCGCCAGAGGCACGACTGGCCTGAAGAGCTCCGATAGCGTGGCTCGAAGCGCTGCGACGTCGTTCCAGCGCCGCCGACCCACCTCGCCGCCCGTCGGAACGGCCTTTGCACCCCTCGCCACTATGCGACCACCGACACAAGCAGCACCAGGGACACCAGCATCGCTCCAGCATCACAGCTACGACAGCCTCGGCTCGACCAACACATGACTATGATCGCATCCATCTCTGCGGAGCTTCTCTCGCTATTGTACAACATTCTATGACCTCGACATCGCCTTCGACACTCAGCATGTTCCCCGCCTATGGCACTACACTCGGCACTAATCAATGATGCGGATCTCGATCTCGCCATATGGCTCGTCCTGCTTGACCCTCATCCTCCTGCTCTGGGTGAGGGCAAGGACGTGGTAGAAGGCCTGCGCGGCCACCGATGGCGAGCTGCTCGCGACGGGCGCCAGGTCGCTAAAGAAGAGGAACGAGTCCTCGAGCTCGTCGCGCACCACCTTGGCGTACTCTAGGAAGTTGGCCGTCTCGATCTCGAGGTCCTGCTGGAAGACAACGTCCGGGTGCGGGTACTCCTCGGGCGGCGGCAGCACAGGCGGCGGAGGCGCGGCGGGGATGAGGGGCGACGGCGGCGGGGGAGGACCGAGCTCGAACCCCTCGATCGTCGACGGCGCACCGGGCGAGGGGAATGAGATCGAGGGCGGACGTCGGGTCGGCGTCACTCGCACCCTCCGCAGGCCGGTCGGCGTCTCGACGACAAACTCGCCCGGCGCAATCTCGCTGACCGTCTCCATGCCCGGCGGCAAGCCCGAGATCGACTCCTCGCGGCGGCGCTCGGCCAGAGCCTGCCAGGGCGGTAGCTCGGCCTGGCGCCTGGCCAGTTCGGCGGGCGAGAGGCCGCGTGCCACCTCTTCGAAGGAGATCTCCGACGGCGGCGCCGCGGGCGGGGATATCTCCTCTTCCATCGGCCGCGGCACAGGGGGAGCGACCTCCACCGCAGGAGGAGGACCTGCGACCGCTGCTCTCCTGGCGGCGCGGAAGCGCTCATCGACGGCGGTGAGGTTGGCGCCCGCCGTGGTCCTCCAGAGGTCTAGGAGCTCGGGTGCGGCCGCAAAGTCGGCGGGCGGACCGAAGATGAGGTTGTGGGCGGCGCGCTCCATCTGGCGCTGCCTGGCGCGCAGCTGGACGACGACCCGCTGCTCCTCCATGATGGCCTCGTAGTTTGCTCGTCCGTCGCGCATCTCCTCGTCGGTGAGCTCGGTCTCGACGTCCTCGATGGCCCGGACTGCGCGCGGTCGACGGGCTCGTGGCACGGGCGGCGCGACGACTGCCACCTCGGGCGCGATGGCGAGCGGAGGCGCTTCGGGAGGCACAGGGACGGCGATCTCGGCAGGCGCCAGCTCCGGGAAAAACTCGGGCGCCTCACTGGTGGGCTCGGCGAGCGGCATGGCCTCTTCTGGGAACTCTTCGGGCTCTACGCCGACCTCTAGGCCCAGATCGAAGGGCATCTCCTCCTCTTCGATCTCGACGGGCGGGAACTCGAGCTCCTCGATGCCTTCCTCGACCCCGCGCGGCACGCCGATGCGCGCGATGCCCGGCTCCTCTTCGTACACGGGCGCCGGTAGGGTGATGCGCTCCGGAGGCACCACGTATCGGGGCGGCCGAGGCGGCGTGACGGGCAGGAAGCCATCTGCGATGCCGACGGGCGTCGCGGCTCGCAGCGCAAACGGCTCCGGCAGATCCATCAGGAAGGTCGGGTCAAAGTCTAGCGCGTAGAAGGCCGTGTCGACCGGCAGCGTGATGGCGCCAAGGCTGGCGAGCGGCGTGCGCATGTCGACAGAGGGCAGCAGAGCCTTTTCCTTGCCCGGCGGCGTGGGGATCGCCGAGATGCTCTTGCGCAGCGACGCGTGGACGTTGGCCACGTCGGTCATCCACATCTCGCTCTGTCGTCCGCGTCGTCGGAGTCATCGTAGGGGGAGAAAACGGTCAGCCTAACGCTGCGCATGCGATGAAAGCGCCGCATGAGGGCCTCTTTCGACGGCCTCACCTGATGGATGAAGATGCGGACGATGCCGAACATGAGCTGGCTCGAGAGGCGCAGCGCCATCGGCTCCGGCGGCTCAGCCACGCTCCGACTGGCAAGGGGCACCACGCGAGCAATGCAGACTATGGTCAGACGGCGGCTAGCCCATCGTAGGGGGATGGGGTTCTTCCCGGCTCACCAGACGCGGGTGACGTCGACTGAGAGAAAGTCACGGCGGGTGAGCTTGCGCACTACGCTGCGATCACCGAGGGTCGCGGCGAGCCTGGATCACCACAGCCGCGACGAGCGAGGCAAGGGGGGTCAGTCTGTCGTCCGTTAGACACCAGGGGTGCTGGAACAGGTGACGACGACGAGGGCAAGAGCCGCTTACCATACAAGGCCGAGGCCCTCCTTCCTCCTCGAGAGGATGTCGGCGCTGTAGAACATCTCCTACAGTAGGCGCTGCAAGGGGGGGGGGTGGGGGTGGGGGTGAGGGGGGAATCGCAGGCAGAAGGGGCTCTGTTGCAGGAGACGGAAAAGGATGTGTAGTGTACAGCATGTTATATAGGCCTGGGAGCGCCCGGTCGGGAGGCTAGACGAGACTGGAAGAAGAGGTCGACAGCTGCCGTGCAGAGCTGCACCGGCGTCGGCATGGACGGTCGGTGCGCTGCGAGGCAAGAGAGCAGGCAAAGGGGGCTGGGGCAGCAGTACTAGTAGAGAGACGCATGTCGCTGTCGCCGTTGGCGTGGGAAGACGGTGGGGACCCTTGGTCGTAGAGAGAGGGGGAGAGGGTTGGCGACGGGCTGCGTCGATGGCAGCGAGAATAAGAAGGATCCTGCCGCCGGCGACGAGCGTGGAAGCTGGCAACGGCCCGGCGTTCAGCGGCGAAAGCAGGTGCGTGGGTATCTTGGATGGTGAGGGGCCGCTGCCCGCCTTGGCTCGGAGAGGGAGGAGGTCTGAGCGACAGGTCTAGTAGGGTCGCAGCTGCGCGGCCGGGAAGTGGGCCTCGAGGGCCGAGGGTGACGCCGATGCGCTGATGTCGAGGCAGAGGCTCTCGAGGCTGGGCAGGTCGAGCATCCCCAGGCTGCGCTTGGGCGTGTAGGCGGTGGTGGCGGTATCCATGGCAGCATCGTCAGATGAGGTGTTGCTGGACCGAGCGCGACGGCTCTGGACATCATCGAAGCTGGCCGAGAGCTTGTCGACGAGGTGCTGCTCGACGAGGTGCAGGCCCGAGCCGTTCTGCTTTCGCCGGTTGGCAGAGGATTGGCGGGTGAGGCCGCGTCCGCGCCCATGCTGGTCTGCAGCCGCTGCGCCATCCGTGAGGTGCAGCAGATTGGGCGGCCTAGCGTCCGTTGCGGAACGGGGCGGTTGGAAGTTGATCGTAGACTTTTCTTCCAGTTCCCAGGCTAGATCGTCGCCCTCCGCTCCGCAGCGGCTGCGAAAGTGCGAGCGGCAGAGGCAGCCGGCCGCGACGAGCAGGAGGAAGAGGCCCGCGCGCAGGGCGTCCGAAGTGGGCATGTTTAACGAGGGGCGCGACAGGTGGGTGCCGCCGAGGGGATCGGGCTGGGTCTCCGTGTCGGAGGAAGGTCGATGGCGGTCGGTGAGGATGCGGGCGGTGGCGACTGACCCGAGAGCAGTCGCTTCTCTGGGCCTCGATGATGGTGATGAGGAAGCTGGGGGGCGATGCCGTACCTGCCTTGCCTTGCCGTGCTCTTTAAGAAGCAGAAGCAGGGCCGGCCGGGTCGCTGGCCAAGAGAACCCGCTGGCAACCCACCTTGCTTCGGGTCGATCCGACCGATCCAACCCCCCACTTGCCGATGCGGGCGCCGCGGCCTAGCCAGGCTAGGGCAACGGTACGGTCCAGCTAGGCCGGTCCTCGTGACGAAGCGCAACCATCGGCGTCCGTCCCGAAACGGAGAGCGGTATGTGATGTTATGATAGGGGCCACCGAAGCAGGCGGGCAAGCAAGGGCGCAATGGCCCAGATATGGTAAGAGCTGGCGGCGTAGACTCGAGCCAACTCCACATCGAATAGGGGCCGCTGCGATCGTGAAAGGCAGGCCTGCTGGCGTTGCCCTGGACCAGGGCAGTGGGCCTGTCAGAAGCACGCCTGCATGCTTCTGCTTCGTCTGGAGCTGATTCAAGGCAGGGTCCAAGCCTCACGTCTCGCTTGCGCCGTACCTGCGGCCCTGCGTGTCGAGCAGCCGGATCCGAGTGGGAAGAGTAGGAACGACTATCGGGTTGGTGTCCCGATTCCACTCCATCGGCGACGTGGAGCTGCCAAGACTTCCCCGCCGGCCCAGCTCACGGCCGACGAACCCGAAAGCACGCCCTTCTTTGTCTACGGAACGTCCAACTCCGCACGTCCCACGTGCGACGCCCCTTCTCGCTCCCTCTAGACGAGATGGTGCGCTGGTGACACGGCGTCGAGCAGAACTTTCCCTTGCGGCCCTCTGCCGGACCTTCGTCCCGTCGCGGTCATGGCACCGTTAGCGAGCACCTCCCTCGAGGCTTGGCATGCACCCCCCGCGGGGACTGGAGGTCTTCGCCCCGACCTCGACGTACGCCCTCGCACCGTGGCAATGAAGCTTCATGGGATGTGCGTGCAACGGCTGGCCAGCCGTTGCATGATCTGTACATACGCATCTTAGCCTCAGAGCTCGACGCTAACGGTGCGCCATGCGTCCGACGGATCTCCCAACAGCAGCCGGCCTCGCCTTTTCTGATAGCTACAGCTCCAAGCTGATCACGATAAAGTCATGCTCTCGAGTCACCAGCCAGCTCCGAGCGCCGTGCCTGTAGAGCTTGAGATACCGGAGCGACAGATGCGAACGCACCGTGGGAAGCAGCACCACATTTGCCATAGCCCAGCACGAACATCGCCGTCGAGCCTGCGTCCTCTTGCATCCTCGCTTCTACCAGGCGGCACCTAAGGCGAGCGGTGGCCCGCCTCGCTATCAGGCTCGTGACCATTGTCGGTCCCCGTCATGGCATGAAGGGAGGCGTGCTGTTCCTCGCAGAGTGGCAAAGAGGCGTACAGCCAGCGGCGCAAAGTCGCCCCCCTTTCAAGCGAACGTGATGGCGCTCTTGCAAGAGGAGCTCCACTCTGTCATGGGTGCGGATGCAATGCCCCTCCGGCGCGGTGAGAGGCCCGACGAGACGCAGCGGTGGCGGGCGGCAGCTGTTCATGACTCTGCGCTAGAGAGCCGGAGCGGCGTCGAGTATAAGAGCAGGTCCATCTGGCATCAGGACGACCCGGACTGAGCGCCCCTCGCCCTTCTTCACATCTCCCCGCCACCACTCTCGAGAAAGCCCCATTTACCGCTATGAAGGTGAGCCGGTCCGAGGTTTCCTTGCGAGAGTGTTGAGGCCGGGAGGATGCTCACCATGCCACCCTACTTCCCCCTGGTGCTCGACACGCCCTATGCAGACGTTCGCCGCCCTCTCCGCGCTCCTGCTGGCCGCTCAGCAGGCAAGCGCCGACCTGCTCGCTTTTGACAAGTTCGGCGAGTTCCGCAGCCTGGTGGCCAGCCCTTCCCAGGACGCGGTCAACGCCACCTCGCTCATCGCCTTCTTCTCGGAGCACAAGACTGCGCCTGCCCTCGAGGCTCGCCAGGCTTCGGCCGTCTCCGCCTCGTCGTCGGCCGCACCGAGCCGGGCGGCGGGCACGACCAAGTGCGCCAGCGACGACTGCACCTCGAGCTACGACCTGTACAAGTCGTGCCCGGACACGACCTACGCCTTCCTCTCGTGCTTCTGCGCCGACAAGGCCCTCGAGATGGCGCGCTGCTACGACGGCGGATGCGGCATCGAGTCGGCGGCCGGCACCGACGTCACCATGTTTGTCCTCGAGGCTTGCATCCTGTACATGTCAAACGACCGCACCACCGCCAGCGAGTGCCTCCTCAGCCGCAACGGCTACTCGACCGCCTGCCGCAAGTCCCTGCAGTACAGCGGCGGATCCTCCGGCGGCATCGGCGACGCCGTGTCCGGATCTGCCACGGCGGCCTGGTCGGCCTCTGCAACTGCCTCGCGCTCCGGCTCGGCCACGGCAACCGGCTCCTCGGCGCCGTCGCCCACCTTCTACGTTCCCACTTCCGGATCCAGCGGTGGCGGCAGCGCTGGCGGCGACGGTAGCGGTGGCGGCAACGGCAACGGCAACGGCGGCCAAGGTGGCAGCGCGGCCAGCTTCATCCCTCAGCCGAGCCAGTCGGCATCGTCGCAGGGCGCGCCCAACGCTGCCACCCGCTGCTCGGCCACTGCGCTTGCTGCTGGAGCTGCGGCCGTTGCCATCGTGGTGTTTGCGGCCATTTGACCGCATATCCGCCCCAAGCCCTTCCACGAAGCCTCACGAAGCCAAGACTCGCGCCGTGTAACGACCCGACGAATATATCCTGAGCTCCTTTCGAACGACGGTCGATTTCTGCAGCCTTGTGTCGAAGAGAAAGCTGTTCCGTGGTTGCTGTGCCGAAGTCGGGAGAACGAGTGGCGGCGAGGGAGCGGCGCATGGACACTACAGCCGACCGTTGGCTGACGGGATGACCGCCGATGGCCGGATGGCTGATCGGTCGATCTCGCCGATGGTGCGGAAGCCACCGACGTTCATGAGGATGTCGAACTCGGCCAGGAGGCTTCTGAGAACGTGTCGCACGCCCTCTTCGCCCTGGATGGACAGCCCGTAGATCCACAGGCGGCCAATCATGACGGCCTTGGCGCCCAGGGCAAGCGCCTTGAATACGTCGGACCCACCGCGAACTCCAGAGTCAAAGAGGATCTCCATCTGCGAGCCTACGGCGTCGACGATGGCGGGCAGCGCCTCGAGGCTCGAGATGGACCCGTCGACCTGTCGGCCGGCGTGGTTGCTGACGACGATGCCGTCGCAGCCGACCTCCTTGGCGCGGATGGCGTCCTCGACGCTGAGGATGCCCTTGAGCAAGAACGGCTTGCCGCCGGACAGCTCCTTCCACTCCTGGATGACTGAAGGGATCCGCTCCCAGCTGAAAGCCTTGCCGTGCCAGATCTGGTCGATCCAGGTACGGCCGACGGCCTTGGCGTCGGCGTCCTTGTCGATGCCGCGCTGCTTCAGGAGCTCCAAGAAGGCAGGATCGCCGAGGCCCATCTCGGCGCCGATGCCGCGGTAGAAGCCGTAGTTGGAAAGCGCCACGTCGAGATGACGCCATGCGAGCTGCCAGGTGTCGAGCGTCATGATGCACGCCTCGAAGCCAGAGTTGGCGGCCCGCTTCAGCAGTGACGTAGCGAGGTCCTCCTGGTGCGGGAGATAGAGCTGGAACCAGCGCAGGCCGTCCTCGTACTGGGCGCCCTTGCCGCCTGCGCAGCCCTCTGCCGCACCTCGAGCATTGTACGCAGCGGCATCCTCAATAGAGACGGATCCGGCGGTCGAGAGCGTGTACGGCAGCCCGAGCTCTCCTGCGACCTTGGCCACGGGCAGCTCTCCTTCCGGATGGTAGATCTTGTTGATGCCGACGGGCGAAAAGCAGATGGGCGCGCTGAGCTTCTTGCCGAAGAGCTCGATGCTGGTGTCGCGCTGGTTGGTGTCGACGAGCATGCGCGGGATGATGTGGTAGTGGGAGAAGGCGTCGCGGTTGGCGAGGTGGGTGGTGCCGAGGCCGGCGTTGCAGCTGGCGTAGCTCCAACCGCCGCTGCTGAGTCGCTGGCGGGCCAGATCCTCGAGCTCGTCGGGATGGGTGTTGAAGGGCGGCAGCTTGTGGTCCTTTGTGCCGGACTCGAAGCACTCGCGCTGGTACAGGGACCAGTGGGGAGTGTTGCGCTGGGGCAGATTGGTCGGATCCATAGTGGGCCAGAGTTAAGGTGTCAGGGAGGTGCTGGGGCGGGGTGCAGGTCGCGATGAGAAGCGGTCCGGCAGGCTCTATATAGGGTCATTGTGGTGTCGCGGGGACGTGCGGAGTCCGGGGTTACGGCTGCGGACCGGCGGCAGGACGGGGTGGGCTGCGGGGAGAGAGTGGGGGCAAAGCCTCGGTGAGTAGCGGGGCGGATACAGTCGAGGAGGCAGCGATGAAAGGGCGCAGGCGCTGCTGATGACGATGATGATGAAGGAGGGAAGAAGGCGCCGATGTCACCAAAAAGGGTGGAGGTCTCCGTCAAACGGCTACATGGCCTGCCCGCCTGCGTTCGGGCCATGCCAGTCGGCGCCTGTCAGACAGAGAGACCGCCTCTGGGCCCAACGCCTGGCCTCTTCGACCTGCAGCGGCATCTCGGCGCCTTTGCTACTACTGTATCGAGCCGACCTCTGACCCGCTGGCCTCCTCCTACCAAGCCTGCTGCCTTCGCTCGGCTCGACTTCCATCACCGGGCCACCTCTGAGCAGCAGGCAAGCAACATCCGACATCACCGTCCTCCGCCAGCGCCGGGCCGTCACATCGCGCTCGGACCTACGTCCCTCTCGGCCACCCCATCCCGCCCACGTCGCCATGGCCGTCGCCCCGTCGGCCGCCAACGGCCCGGCGGTCAGCGGCGATCCTCAAGAGCAGGTGCTCAGCCGCGAGGATCTTGTCGACTACCGCGCCGTCCAGCGCACCTTTGACGGAGCCTATGCTCGCACCGCCCTCGGCCAGCTCTGCTATGCCGTCGTCATCCTGCGCCTCTTTCAGGAAAAGTTCTTCTACGTCGGTATGTTGTCGTGGTCCTGTCGATGAGTGCCGTCGCCGCCCTTGCCGACGGCATTGGCCGACGGGCACTGGCTGAACCCCATCTCTCTCCCTCGTTCCACAGGCTTGGCATACTCGCTCTTTGCCGTCGGCTTCATCCCCATCGCCGTCTATCGATACCGCAACGCCGTTCAAAACGAGGACCGGTACATTGAGCTGCAACCCGCTGTACAGCCGGAGAGCAACGGTCAAGGGCCCGCGTCATCACAACCACCTGCGTCCACTGGCGGCACTGAGACCGATCGCATCGCCGTCTCGACTGCCCTCGAGCAGACCATTGCACCGCGCCGCGGAATCTACGTCAAGAGCTTTGTGACGGCGGGCTCAGTGGTCGCCGTGACAACCGTCGTTGTCACAGTCTTTGAGGTGGCGCTCTTGATCCTCATCTTTTTGGTGTAACGGCCTCTGCCGGCTGCGGGAAATGTCATGGGATGATCATCGCTCATTAAAGGGAAGGTCAACTTGGCTGCGAGATGGACAAGACGCCTCGAGGTAGACGGCAGTTGTCAATTGCGAGCGAGCTTCGCCTCGGGCTGCCGGCGCTGGTCCGCGACCCGTGTGGCCGTCACCATCACCATTCCAGCCAGATGCGCTCAGGTACAGTTGCCACGGCGGCTCCGTGCCCCGGCTCCAGCGCCAACGGCACTCTTGAGCACTAGCGCAGGAGCTTCAATGCCCAGGTGCTGACACGGGATCGTTGGGAAGATGCCGCCCAGCGTCGCATGGTACCGTGTCTGAGCTGCCATCGTGTTGCACGGTTGCCCTATCAAACAGCTGAGAACGGGGAAGACCAACACCCTGGCGTCAGGAAGAAGGGGCCAGCTTGACCAGCACGATTGCAAGTCAGGCTTGCCTTTTAGGACGGACAAGACCGACCAGCGGCCTGCCTCGTGTGCGGTCCCAGGGTCTGCAGCCGCTGCAAGGGTTCTCTTCTCGGCACCCGTCCTCGCGACCAGCGTCCCGAAACGGAGAGCGGAATTCTATACTCATCTTGGCGAGCACCAGCAGCCGTCAGCACTGCAATGAGTAAGAGTGTCAACAGCAAGCTGGTCAGTGCAAGGGCTGCAGTCAAGGTTGGTACAAGGGCAGTTTCAGACAAGACAAAAGACTGACAGACTGTAGTGGGTCTTGGTCAGGTCGGCTCTGGCACTGAAGCACTTCGTTCCGACCGTGGCCTCCACTGGGGCAGGTGTCGACGACGCTCCCAACAGCAGCCAACACGCTGCGACCATTGCGCCCTAGTCAGGTTGTGCCAAGGCAACGAGGACCCGCGCATGCCGCCTCCTTCGCCACGCTGTCGGCGCTCAGGCGAGACCGTCGGCAGAGTCAGGTTGGCATTTCAGATAAGGCGGGCCAGGGGTGAAGACAGTCCTGCACCATGTGTAGCCCCGCTCGCCGCCACCTTCTGGGAAGCGAAATTTCCTTGCTTGCCCTGCCCTACTCCGTGCAACCAGCAGAAAGGTCAGCGTTTGTTGCTCGCGAGCAGATCTGTGGCAGGCAGACTGAGCGACATTGACGAGCCAAGGTGGCGCTGGACCCGACGTGCTCCCATGTCTTCGCTGCCTGAAAGCCCCTTGCTCCTTCCCACGGCCAGGCGGCCAGACTTTTACTGGCATGGTTGACATGTGCCGCAGATTGGGCCTCGACCACCTGGCGCCGGTGCTGGCGCTTCACCGGCTGCAAGCTCGACGAAGGCAGGGCCGCTGCAACGCAACGCAGGCACCGCACGCCACCCAAGCTGAGAAGAGCGTCCAGTACGTGCGCCAAGTCGCTCGTCGCGGTGCGGCCGCGCCCCTGGCCTCAGTCTTACCGATGGCCAACCTGGTCCCACAGGTGACTTGTCAGTCAGCACTGACCGCTGTTCGTACCCTTCTCCCTCAGAGCGAGCCGTCCGGCGGTGTGTCGGCCCGACTTCATGCCAAAGCCAGATCCGCATCGCCGCTAGAACGACGGACCTGGCAGTAGCACCTCCGAGATCTTTCTGCTTCCGCCCTTGCATCGGACCCAGCGACCCTTGCGAGGGCAACGCCGGAGCGAATGGACGTCGTTGCGGACCTTGAGCCCAACACCGGCTCCCATCTAGCTGCTGAAGCCGTCGGTGACCCTCAGCGAGCCCGCTGGTGTGAGCCGACCGGCTCTGCTCAAACGACGGACTTGACATCGTCTGGAGGAGGAGCTATAAAGACGGGCGGTCTTCTAGCCGTGACCCCCGGTCGACTCTACATCTCCCCGTCCTTATCTCGACCCGGCCTTTCCCTCTCTTCCCAGGCCACTCACCCCGCTCACACTTTCACCATGACAAACTGGTCCGACCCTGCCGAGATCGCCAAGGAGCTGCAGGCGGCCAAGCTCATGGTCATGATCTGCCTGGGCTATGCGGTGTGCGACCTGAGCTACACCTGGCGCTTCGATCTCGACCTCATCACGGGCAGGCGTGGCTCGCGCAAGTGGCCGCAGCTCCTCTACGTCCTTGCCAAGCTCGGTTTCTGGCCATACATCGCCGTCACCTTTGCCGTCGCCGAGCCGCCGGCCTTTTTGCAGTGCAACGCGCTGGTGTACGCCTCGGAGGCGCTCATGGGCGTCATGACCTGCTGCTGCTCCGGGCTGCTGGCCTTCCGCGCCGTCGCGGTGTGGAACGGCCGGGCGTTCAAGGTGGTCGCTTCCGTGGTCACCATCCTCTTCCTCGCCCTCGTGGGCATCTGGATGGCGGGCGTGCCGGACGTCAAGGCCGTGTGGATCGAGGGACCCGGGCCGGTGTGGATCAAGAACCAGGGCACCTGCACCTTCCTGCCCATCCCCAAGATCTACGGCGTCAAGTTCATCGCCACGGTCGTGTTCGATGCCATCGTGCTGCTCCTCACCGTGGCCGGCGTCATGGCGATGACCACGCGCTCGCGGATCGGCACCATCCTGGTCGAGCAGGGCATCTTCTACTTTGGCGCCACGCTCGTCATGAACGTCTTCCTCGTCTCGTTTACCTATGCCGAGCTCAACCCGCTGATGAGCAACATCCTCAACGTGCCCACCCAGACCGTGTCGCTGATTGTCGCGACGCGCCTCTACATGATGCTGTGCGACAAGGTCAAGCCGGTCGTGTCGTCGCAGGGGCAGGGGAGCTCCGGCAGCGGCGGCGGTGCGTACGGCTCGTCGCTCGGGTACAAGTCCAACGGCTCGTCGTCGACGGCGGGCGCCAAGATCAAGAACGTCTTCCGCCTCAACAAGGACGACGGGCACGCTCTGCCCGAGGCGTTCGGGATGCGCTCCAACTCGGAGAGCAACTCGGTCCATCTGACTGTCGACGTCCACTCGGCGTCGCAGGAGAAGTTTTCGCTGTCCACAGGCAAGGACGACGACCTCGAGCTGGGGAGAGCCCACCCGTACGCGCACTCGCAGATGATGGCCCACGGCAGCCACCGGTCCAGCCCGGCGCAGGTTCAGGTGTCCGAGCAGATGACAGTGGCCACCGGGCCGGTGCCAGCCTACCTCGACGGCCTGGAGGATCTGCGAAAGAAGTAGAGCCGAGTAGCAGTGTTGTAGACTCTCTGCTTGCTGCCTTCGCATTGCTGCTGTATTCCTGCCACTACTGTCCCCGTCGAAACACAAGTCACCACGTTCATTGCATTATACACGTTCGCGGTCCACCCTGACTGGCGAGGGGGCGCTGACGAGTTGGGGTCGTGGTGGCTGTGAGCAGAACGAGACGAGGCCGTGGAGCAGCGCGTGGCCGGGCAGCCAAGCGTTGAGCGGCGACGGTCGACGGCGGAGGGCGGCGAGGGCGAGGTGTGGGCTCGTTTGGTGTTGCAAAGGTCGAAGGCTGGGCCGGGAACCTTGGACCGGCTTGCAAATCCGACCGGCGCGACTGGCCCTCGGGCTGAGCGGCCACTTGGCCGGGCTGTGGGGCAGCCAGAAAAAAGCGGGGGGCGGCGGGAAAAAAGGCAGGCCGGGTTGCTTGGCTGGCTGATGATGCGGGGCGGTCTTCGTAATTTGGCAAACGCAGGTAGGCAGGCAGGCAGACAGGCAGCAGGCAGGCAGGCACAGCCCAGGGTCCGTCCATCGGCAGCAGAGAGGCCAGCCAGCCGAGGCAGAGCACGCACGGCGGCCCTCGTTACGAAGCTTCGTTCGCGTGACACGGCCAGACCAGGCTCTCAGGCCAGGAACCCCCGACAAATGGCCCTGCCTCTCTGGCTGACTTGGCCCCCGCAGCGGCCCAAACTCGTTGGTCCCGATCGGTGGTCCAGGGCCTGCGGGGCATCGGGGAAGCCTTCCCGCGATACCCACGGCAGAGGCCACCGCCGTCAACCCCGAATGGCCCTGTCTGCCCGCCTCCCTGCCGCCTGGTCACGCCGACCCCCTGCCTGCCTCCTCTCCGACACCACGCTGTTTAAATACCACGCTATCCTCTACGGACCCCTCCCGTCAACCCACCCTCATACGCTCATCGGACAGCTCCGCAAGCAACAGCGACGAAAGCCAACGCCGTCCTCTGGCACTCGCTCTTTCTCCCTCCGACTGCTTCCTCCTTCGTCCGACCTACCGCTGCGTCTTCTCCTCACGCCGCCTTCGCCATGGTCGAGGCCGACATCCTCAGCTACGGCCGCGCCGCCGTCGAGTGGTCCACCAGCTCGCTCGCCCACCTGGCCGTCACGCTGCTCGCCGTTGTGGCCGCCGTCGTGGTGGTGCCCTTCTTCCAGCGCACCCACCTCATCGGCATCCCCGGCCCCCTCGCCGCCAAGTTTTCCGACTTCTGGCTGCTCCGCACCGCCATGAATGGCCACCGCTTCCAGTCGGTTCACGAACAGCACCAGAAGTACGGCACCTTTGTCCGTATCGCGCCCAACCACGTCTCGATCGCCCACCACGACGCCCTCAACCCCGTCTACGGACACGGAACCGGCACCCTCAAGCCCGAGTACTACGACGCCTTTGTCCCGCCGAGGCCCTTCCCGCGCGGCCTGTTCAACACGCGCGACAGGGCGGAGCACACGCGCAAGCGCAAGATTGTCTCGCACACGTTTGCGCCCAAGACCATCACCGCCTTCGAGCCCTTTATCCGTCGCGAGATCCAGATGCTCCTCGACCGCTGGGACGAGTTCTGCGCCAAGGCCAAGGACGAGCAGAAGGAGGGCCCGCGCCCCGGCACAAAGGGTCGCGCCTGGCTCGACGTCCTGATGTGGCTCAACTTCTTCGCTTTTGACGCCATCGGCGACCTCGCCTTCGGATCCACCTTTGGCATGCTCGAAAAGGGCGTCGACGAGGCCAAGGTCGAGTACGAGGACTCGGACGGCAACAAGAAGGTCGACTACTGCTCGGCCGTCACCATCATCAACGAGCGCGGCGAGTTCAGCGGCACCATGGGCCTCGCCCCCACCTGGATGCGCCCCTACCTGCTCAAGCTGCCCTGGTTCGAGCGCCGCCTCCGCTCGGTCAAGAAGCTCACCGGCATCGCCCTGGCGCGCGTCAACGACCGCCTGCAGAACGGATCGGAGCGCGAGGACCTGCTGGCCAAGCTGCAGTCGGCCAAGGACGACCGCGGCGAGCCGATGGGCAAGATGGAGCTCACCGCCGAGGCCCTCACCCAGCTCATTGCCGGCTCCGACACGACGTCCAACTCGTCGTGCGCCATCGTCTACCACCTGGCCACCCACCCGGACAAGATGCGCAAGCTCCAGGCCGAGCTCGACGAGGAGCTCAAGCACTCCGAGGACGTCCCCCTCCACAGCGACGTCCAGGAGCTGCCCTACCTCCAGGCCGTCCTCTCCGAGTCGCTCCGCTACCACTCGACCTCGGCCATCGGCCTGCCCCGCGTCATCCCCGCCGGCGGCGCCACCGTCTGCGGCAAGTTCTTCCCCGCCGGCACCACGCTCTCGGTCCCCGCCTACACTGTGCACCGCGAAAAGGAGGTGTACGGCGACGACGCAGAGGAGTACAACCCGGACCGCTGGCTCGCGCCCGACGCGCGCAAGAACTTTGACAAGGCCTTTATCCCGTTCAGCGTCGGCCCGCGCGCCTGCGTCGGCCGCAACGTGGCCATGATGGAGCTGTCGCTGCTCATCGCCGCCATCTTCCGACGGTACGACATTGTCCTTGCCGAGCCGGACAAGGACCTGCCCACCTTTGAGGGCTTCCTCCGCAAGCCCACCATCCTCATCGCCGGCCTCAAGAGGCGCGAGTAGGCGCCTCGGTGAAGCGGCCAGCGACATCCAAGAACGTACCACCAACAAAAAGACGACGAACCTTGTACCACCTCCCGTCCCATTCTCCATGACGACCCTGCAGTTGTGTGACACGAGTGCTACCGGTGTGATCTTTGTGCGAGGTGCTTTCCAATCGAGACATGCGGTCCCACCATTCGGCCGATCGGCCAGTCTGGCGGCCACGACAGTCTGCGATTGTCGCAACGAGGTCGAGGGACACACCGGTTCATGCAGGCCAAGATGGCAGTCCCCCTGTCTATACAGCTCGAGCGCGGTGACCGGCCCTACTCGTCGTCATCATCGTCGTCGGCGAGGGCCAATCGATGCGCCTGCTCCTCGAGCTCCCTCCTCTGCTCCTCCTCGATGCGCTCGCGCTCGCGCTGCTCGCGCGTATAGAGGGCCCAGTCGACCTCCTGGGCGTCGTCCTCGGCCTTGTCGTCGTCGTCGACAAAGCTGCCGCCGCGCTCAAAGAGCTGGCGTCCCGTCGGCTTGTTTTTCGACTTTTTGTACTCCTCGCGCTCCTTTGGCGACATTTTCGCCATCTTGGCCTCTTCCTCCTTGGCCGCCTTGGCCTTCATCTCGGCCTCGAACGCCTTGCGCCACTCGGCGAACCGCTCCGTCGTGACGGCGGTGCCGCGGAACTTTTCCGCCTCGGCCTGGAGAAGAGAGGGGGGAGGGGGGGGGGGGGAGGGGGGAGGAGGAGGGAGGGGAACGGGAGGGGGAGGGGACGGTAGGTTACGGGTACCGGGACGGGTAACGGTCCGGCCCGGTCGGACGTAGGTCGGTCGTTACGGGTAACGGTAACGGTCCGGGCCC